GTCCTAGAGTTTCTCCTATTTTTTATTCGGAAAAACCACACTTCCAAGCGCCGACTATCTCGCCGCGCTCAAAATCCGTAAGTTGGCAATTTTCTGCGAGTATTGGTTGAGTTTGACCATTTTTTTTTTTATATCGTTTTAAAGCTTAAGATTTTAGCTTTCTAAAGGCTATTGAACGTTAAAATTGGACGTCTGTGTGTTGCACAAATAACGATGCAACTCACCCCCGATTCCAAACTTTTGTCCTGTGAGTGTACATGTACTCTTGCAAAGCGAAAGTATACAATCTTTGCTTATTACAAAAAGAGAGTGATTGCAAAAGAGAAATTATAAATTCCCTTTTTTTATACCGATTTATTCCGATATCTATATACATGTCTCAGGATTTTTCCAGATCAACCAATAAAATCTTTTGAAAATCTCCAACTACATGTATTATTAAATCGCTTGATTACATATAAACTGTTTCTAAAATTCATTTTATTGTTGTTGCGATTTATTGTTTAAAAAATTTTTGCAGGTCCCTGATACAAGTTTTGTTGATAGAATATTTGTTCGACAATGATCACGTTTTATTTATTAGAAGACCAAGAAGTTGGGACAACGGTATTGTCGAGATCAATATTTTTTATTGATACACACATTTCATACCTCAAAACGTAACAGGAATCACATCTTTAGACGGGTTCAATCTCTAATATACAACATTGCATTACGAGACAATTGGAAACATAGTAAAACCGTTAAAATATAAGTAATAAAAATATCGTGTTAACGCGCAAAGGTTTGATTTCGAATTTTGTCCCGAATTAAGCATAATACGGGCTGTGATTCGAAATCGATGTATTTCGTGAAAATATGGTATAACTTTTTTTATTATTTTACTATGTTTTAATTTTTCGTAATTCAACTGTCGTGGTATGTGTACAATTTTTGAGATTATTCTAGCATACTCTTGTTCTTAATTTAGAAAGTATCGTTATGTATTAATACAATTTATCACATAAATCAAAGCATTGAACGATAGAAATAATAAATAATAAGATATAAATAAAAATAATGCAAATGATATATTCGAACTATTCTCTAATTTTAAAATTTTACTTCCCTTTCAAGTTCAAAGTAATTACGCAAAATTGAATAAAAATTGTTCAACTAAACCTATAAAATAGCCAATATACATGTTTGTTTAGGAATATTATTATAAAATATTCTAACATTCTAGAAGTATAAAAAATTCTATTATATACGGCGCACACTGTACATTGACAATATGATGATACTGTACTTGATTGTGCACGTGCAAACGTGTAGCATATGAGATCAAATTTAATTGTGTTGAGTAGAGAAACTTATTAATAAAATATAAGGAGGCATCTATAAGACAATGAATAATATTAACTCAAAAAAATTAATGTTTATTTCATTTGTGCATGTATTACAATTAAGCATCCGTTTCTGAGAACAGGACATTGTTCTAAATTATTTATTTACAATACTTATTATTTATCGTTATCGTTATCGTTATGCTTAAAAATTAAATGAAACTAAAACGAAATAGTATTGGTATGATATGGAAATATGGTACTACAGTACTACATGTACATTACGTACCGGTACAGTAATATGAAATTGATCACGCATATACATTGGGTCATTGCACGTGAATATCCTTATTTATTTAAAATTACGAGTAATCACAAAAATGAGAATGAAACGGCATTCCTTTTCAGCTCTATTTTATTTGTATCTTTAAGCTTCATATACATTAATTATATATTAAGAAAGAATCTGTGTATATCTATCTATATATGATATAGAGTTGAGATTATGTATAAATAATCTTTGGTGAGAATTCCGTTTGCAGTACTCCTTTTGAAAATGCGTCAATGGAGATTTCTTAAGCTCTTGAAGAGAACGGTGTTGCAATTTATATTTGAATCAATTCCCGAACGTTCTCTCGAGCCAAAATATTTACGATTTATTAAATTGATCTTTGCTTTTGCTATTTATCTTGCATGTCTCGCATATCTTATTTACCTTGCGCTCGGAATAAAATATGAAAATCCAGATGTTGAAATAGCGATCGAGGAGGTCAAAAATATCCCTGCTCCATGTTTGTCATACAAAATTCTTTTTTATGCATTTTTTTTTGAAAATATTAATCTCTTTCTGTTTCATAGTAATGAATGTTACATCGCCTTTTAACTTTACGATGAAATGTGACTTTTACAATAACTGTGTGTATTACAATCAGGTTCACTTCAAGTAAAATAACTAGAATTAATCAATATTATTGTTTATTTATCAGTTGGTCAAATTATAACGAGCAATGGAGTCGAATGTACACATTACATACAACCAACGTATAAAAATGATGCTAACTTGTACGTTGGATACTGGAACAATTCAATCCAAAGAAATGTCCCATCAGTGATAATGGATGATATCGGAATATCCAATATTATTGTTCAGTTTTTTGTAAATCAGAAGGATTTACAAACTACTCGTCTTATTGAGTCAAACCCCGTAAATAATAATTCAATGATAATTTCATTTTCTGATGCCGGTAATTGTTTTAAGAATTTGTCGATTAACATTGCATTGTCAGCTCTGTTTTCACTAAAAGATCTGTTGCGAAATTAAAGAAACAGAAAACATCAATTTCGCGTCTTCAGTACATAAAGAATCGATTGATTTGTCAAACACTTATATTTTGTCACCAAAGCAGGTAATCTCAAGATTTTCTCTGCTTTTGCTATTTTACATGTATTAAGTGAGCCTGCTTATTTATTCATTGTTTCCAAAAAGAAATACCTCTTATGGTTTTGGCGACTTCAAAAGAAAGATCTCGATCTGCGTAACTGGAAAAACAAAGTTGGTTTTGAAAGCAAAAAAAATGACTATTACATAATTGAAACACTTATACGTAAGATATTTTTCATTATTTGATTATTACGTGTAATTGTTTATCTTATTACAATGTATTATCTTTTAAATATAGAAAATGCCGATCCTATAAACGCAACAAATTTTCCATTTTCGATTGTTGATATCAGATATCAAACACGCTTCGTTGAAATAGACACGCAGACAAAGTAAATATGAGAGCAATGCTATAATTAAAAAATTTTTCTTTATTGATTAAAGTTTTTTTTCACATTGTAAAATTCGAAAGACAAAATACGGTAAGTCCTTTTCATTCCTGTAAATGATTTTAACATGTAGCATTCTTTCTAAATTCTTTCTTGATCATTAAGATTCTCGCTTTATTAAGCAGCCTTGGAGGAGCGTATGGTATTGGTATAACTATCTATTGCTTTTGCTTTGGTATAGATCATATTTAAGCTTTATATGTATGTTTGATTTCTATCTATACATACCAGCTAGATTTTAATTAAATCGTTTAGGCACCCAGCAAATAGGTCCATGGGGGATGGCTTATGAAATTTACGGGGTTCGTAATAGTCTCAAAAAAAGGGTTAAAGAGAAATTTCAATCTCATTTTCCACTTGTAGAAATAAAATACCCCGACAATATTAGCGACGAAGATATAACACTGGGAAAGATTAACCAACGATTACATGATTTGGAGTGGCAAAATTCGTTACTTCAATTGCTGATTAGAGAATACGTAATCGACATCGGAAATTTTGCCGAGTTAAAGAAATCAATAGACAAAAGAAACCAAACAGAGGTGTGAATTAGTCACCGAATTTCCTTATTATCCCTTAATTTAAATCTGTATTTTCAGGCAAATTTGCCTGGAATTTTTTGAATACTAAAATGTTATGGAATGATTAAGGTTTGTACACTCATTTTGTTAAGCTTATTAAGATTGTACAAATAAGAATGTAGTAATTTTTTAATAATATAAAAGACAGAGTATGAGCGGTCGATAAATAGTACCACGCATTTTAGACAGACAAAAATAAAATTATATTTGTTTTTATGGGTGGTAGAGTATAGTGTGTGTGCTCTTTGTTTCTCATTATGCATATCTCATGTTAATTAACGATTAAATCAGTAAATCTGGAAAAATCAACCTTGCAGAATCCACACTGATAGAGCTTGTAATCCCTAATCCCCAGACAATCGTGAGTTATAATCAGATATTCCGTTAGACATTCATAATCGTTCGTTTTTCTCAATTCATAAAATGAAGTTGTATTTAAGTTGCTTATAATGTGAAGAAAAGATTTCAAAATTTAATTTATTTTATTGGTAACAAAAATGGATGATGTACAGTATTTTTGTTTTCGAAATGTATTTGCACAATGCATACGTAGTCTACGAGCAAATTTATATCAGGATATTAAATAAAATAGATACTTTTTTTTATTATCAAATAAATATAAATGATAACAATAATTTTTATAATTTCATACACATGCTCCTAACTTTCGAACATATGGCGAGTTTTTAGATTTACTGCACCAATTAATCACTTAATCATCAAAATTCATTATTATGACCTCATTAACCCTGATGATAAATCATAACGTAGCTCTACTTAATATGAAATAGGTTTCTGTGTTGATAATGGATGCGGTATCTGTTATCCCAATCAGATTCATGTGTCCCAATTATTGTTAATGTGATTTAGAGATACCAATTATAAATGTAATACCATAAGAATGCATCAAATTAAATTTTGTCAACGATAAAATAAAGAATTTAACTAAATTTACATTATTCTTCCCATTATCATGTAAATACATTGTGAAGTTGCATTTGAAAAGATATTAGATATGTTAACTGCTTAATATACTGTATAATTAATTTTACATCTTGATTCGACTTCTAGTGCTACAATTTAGTTAGCGTTAGGACACTTTACATTTTATCATATTGCAAGTTTTTTTTTGAGGATTTCGTACAATAAAATATATTTTTCTTTGCTTGTCATTTGGCTATGACACAGATATTTTTTCCATCCTCTATTCATTTATTAATTTACTGTTCTTCTCATGAGTTTGTATTAATATGTATATAAAAAGTAATTTACTTGCATTTAGTTTGACATAAAATATTCTGAAAATACTCGGACCTATTATATTAAACTTGTACGAACAGCTAATAGTTTACACAATATTCTTATGAAAGGCAATAATATTTTTAATAGCTATAATGTATAAAGTATTTGCAATAATAAATAAATAACAATGTCATAATACAACTTCAGTGGCTTACTGAATTTTACTTAAGGTTAACATGACCCTGCTTTTTCTAAGCAGAGATGATAAACAAAAAAGCACGTTAGTCAACATGCAACTAACAAATTAAAATTTTTATAAATATTAAAGTAAAAAACACTAACAATTTCTTTTGACGAATCAGAATAGTGTTCTGAGTTATTTAATCTTCTCTTTTTTTACTTTGGTGTTTCATCATCGATTTGTTTTTTCTCTTGTAATTTCCTAGTATCTTCAATCTCGTGTGCTATACTAATGTCGAAATCTGTTTTTTTAATTGCCAAAGAATTAATGAAAAAAATAAATTGATAAATACTAATATTAAATATAGCAATCCAGAGACTAAATATTTGAAGAATATTACTGTATATAATTGTGATATACATGTATTTAATAATTTACCTTCATTTGCTTCGTTCGATATATATAAACTGATGTTTGCTGATTAAATATCGATATCTATATCAAATTCCGTGGTTACATACGCTACATATATATATAAACAAGTATTTATATAAACCAATATTTAATAAGAACATGTTGAATATATTGTTTCACCTTCATTTGGAATATACAAGCCAACACTTGTAGAACCCAAATTCTTAACTAAATTGTGTCAGTGAAATTGGAATTAATATTTATTAGCTTGATTATACAAAACATTATTGAAAAATACCAACCTTCCTGTTCCACCTTCGGCAAAAATTTGCTCGTGTAAACTGCCAAGGGATGCGTCGTGTAACTTTCTTCGGAATTATATTTAGATGCATTTGTAATTCTAAATTTCTCGGCGGCGATTATTTGTTGTTTTTCCGTTTCTGTAATTTCTCTTCGATACCATTTTTCAACGATGTCGCATATCTCTATAGAAGTTGGTCTTTGTGAGGGATATGATGCCAATAACGTACAATCAAGTGGTGGTAAAAACAAGGTAGTCCTTCAGGTAATTCTGGTCGTAATCCATCACAAATATCAAAAGATAAATTAGCATCGAAAGGACGTTTACCAAATGCCGTTTACTGACACACCACTCCCACATGACCATTCCCAATGCATAGACATCTGATGCCATGCTGAATGCCTCTCCTCTGGTGCAACATATGACATCACACCAGATATTTGGCCTTTTTCTTAGTGCAATTTTGTCTGGTTGCAGCACCAAAATCACAAGTATAGTAAATCTTGATTTAATCGAAGAATATTTCAGGATACAGGTCACCGTGTATAATACCCTGTGAATGAGTAAACTGAAAATGAGTACAAATATTATATAGTACTTCTATGTGATCATTCCAAGTTATTCTGAGGAATTGCTTTCGTAGACAACGTCGCAGATCACCACGGCCGACAGCAAGGAGAACTAAAAAGTATTCTCCGTTGTGTGTTATTCCATATATAAATAGAAGGACAGCTTAAACAAATACTATCATTTCTTACCTATTATCTTTATTAGACAAATGGCAAGAAATCTAAAAAATTGCATTAAATATAGTAGATTGTTATCTAATAAAGCATAAAATAATTATAATAAAAAATAAAATCGTTGATTTCTTACCAACTAAATAATATTTAATAAATTAATGTCAAATAAAATTAAAGTAAATATGTAAAACAAATCATTGATTCCTACAATCTAAATAAAGAATAGAATAAGGATTAGTTAAAGATTAAACAAAATTAAAATGAAGTGTAAAAATAAAATCGTTGTTTCTTACTCCCTAAATAAAGGATAGAATAATGGTTGGTTAAATAAATAAATATCAAATAAATTTAAAAAATAAAATCGTTGATTGCTTACTAACTAAATAAAGGATAGAATAATGAATTAGTTAAATAAATTGATATCAAATAAATTTTAAATAAAAATGTAAAATAAAATTGTTGATTTCTTATGACCTAAATAAAGGATAGAATATTGGATTAGTTAAATATATTAATATCAAATAAATTTAAAATGAAAATGTAAAATAAATCGTTAATTTTTTACTCCCTAAATAAAGGATAGAATAATGAATTAGTTAAATAAATTAATATCAAATAAATTTAAAAAGAAGTGTAAAATAAAGTCGCCGATTTCTTACCATCTAAATAAAGGATAGAATAATGAATTAATTACTGTAAATAAATTCAAAAATTAATCTTATTGACTTTTTACATTAATCAAAATTACATGCTGGTTTATATGTTCCGAACGAAGGAAAATTACTCCGTAGTTATTATTAATTTCTTTATTTCATCATTATTCTTGAAATATTCGATGTTATTTCATGAACAGTAGGCACCGAAAGTAATGCCGATTTTTTTAAAAAATGAATTTCCGATTTATTTATTTCTGTCTTATAAATACTAAAATATTTATTATCGAAGGCTAATACAATATTAGCTCTTCAAATGACTATACTATTGCTTTGATTTCTCAATGAATTGAGCCTATAACCTCTTCAAAAACCAATAGATCGAATTTCCTTCAGAATAGTCTTGAACTTTTTTCACAATCCTTGGAAAAATTTTGCACTTTTTAATATTGTTGCCAATGGCTTGCAAACATTTTTATGAAGTTAGACTCAATTCAACACAATATTTATTGGCTTTTTTCTATTTAATTCTATTTACAGCTTCTTTCCAATTATAAGTCAAGTATTATTTTTTGAAATACCATGTGCTCTCAAATCTATGAACAAATTATATTTTGAGAAGGGATCAAATTAGCTTAAAGAATCTTTAGATAAGCTTTTGCACAGATTTTTTATCATTAATATTTGTGAAATTACTC